TTTAACGATAAAGGTCAATGTCAAGTATGGGTCAACACCAAATGTTGACATTTCAGACGAAGGCTGCTTTTGTCCAAATGAAATTTTGTTAAAACATCAAGGCTTAAAAATTTGGCTTAAAAAATAAAGAAGTTATAACAGATTAGTTATAAAACTGTCCAAGTGACCTTGACCTTCAACTCAGGGTTGCGGCTGTATATAGCGACACCTCGTCTCGTGATGGTGGCAGACCTGGGGTAACCATTAACTGTAATCATTGATTTTTCAATTGATTACATGATTACACTGTAATCATCATGTAATTGATTACCTTGCCCAAAACTGATTACATTAATTGTAATTAATCAATTACAGCTTAAATTCAGTCAGTAATTATGATTACATTTTGATTGACATTGATTACTTTCAGAATTAATAGGAAACTTTTTTTAAGTTCAAAGGATGTCTTTATTTTATATTATACAGTTTAACTTTTGTTTTTCAGTAATACAGTAAAAATCCTCAATTAGACTGAAAAAAGTGAATATTCTTATCATTGCTTACATATTTTAAGACCATGGTCTACTTTAGTCATTTTGTATGAATAAACAATATGTTTATTTATATGTACCTACAAATACATTATAAATAAAAGTTATCAAAGAATGCTTATTTAATATGATAAAAGGAAAACATTTTTCTGGAGAAATTTAACGTTAATTTTACAGTATCACTTATTATATGATGTACATAAATCAAATGAAAATTTAAATTTTCAAAAAATAAATGTGCTGAAAGCAACAAAGTACCACTCTAAAATTGACCTTCTCACCTTATTTCATACAATAACCTAATAATAACAGTTTTTCACACCTTGTGAAATCAAGTGTCATGCTAAAGAGCATTCAAGCAGATCATAGTAACAAATTTAAGATCTAGGTAGGTGTTGATTTCAATATCAGTGGTCTCAATAGTCACATTAAAATTAAAACAAAAATTTGGACTGATTAATTCTGGTGGTCTTAAAAGTGAATAAGTAGGTGGTTAAATCTGGATCATGAAACCATTGACTTAAAGAATCTTTTTAAAAATGGTCTTAATAGCAGGGTGGTCTCAATTCTGGGGTGGTCTAATGTACATTCAATGTAATCAATTATTAATCAATTACTCTCTTAAAGTAATTGTAATTCAATTGATTACAGAGGCAAATGTGAGTAATCAATCTTAATCAATTACAATAAAATCTGAAAGTAATTGTAATTTAATCAATTACTGATCAATGTAATCATCCCCAGGTCTGGATGGTGGACATTTGTGCCAAGTTATTTCAAAACCCACTCATTCATATAGAAGTGGACGTTTAACCTCTAAGTGTGACTTTGACCTTCAGTGCGGAAATGTGTCTTATACTGGGACACATCTTATGATGGTGAACATTTGTGCTGAATTATTTCAAAATCCTCCATCCATGTAGAAAGAACAAAGCGGTGACGAACAATTTCAACCCAGTTTGACAGTGTTGTGGATACATAATTACATACATTTGTTGTAGCTGTTTATATATTTACAGCTGTGTAGTCGTGTTGCATTGTCGTTTTAGTCGCAGGTTGTCTGCTACCCATACCAATTTATTGAGCTCGAAAAACAATTGCAGTGCCGTTTCAGCGTCATGTGCCATTTGTAAATCCGGTTTCAAGAGTTTAGCCAATTCTTTAAAGTCTTTATTTTTGTTCTTCGGGATTGAATACATCCGTTGACAACAAATTACGTCTAAGAGCGAGGTTTGGTGCACCATTAACCGGTTTAAACTCCCCAGTAGTCATTATTATGCTGCTGACCGTTCCAAGGCGGCGCCCCTCTGTGTTCCTCAGATGTATGTCTATGTTGTTTTATACTGTTTTGGTGACACTTTTGCTCGTGTCTCTTGTTGTTTCTCGTCTACGGTAAGTATCTTCCCTTTGTCCCTGGTTTATATTTATTTTATTCTTCCCCCCCCCTTCCCCGTGTCTCATGTCCCCTTCCCCTGAGCCTTTTGACATTGTGGGCCTTATATTAAATCATTTATTTGTTTTGTTTTATTTCCTTTTAAGTTACTTATCATGTATTCTGATGTGTTGGTTTGCCTGCCCGTGCTCTGCCTTATGCCCTGTCCTGTTTTTCTTTGGGGTCCTCCTGGGCTCCTTGCCGCTGGCGCTTGTTGCTGGGTCGGGTGGGGGCTGCGTTTATTGAATGCCGCCTTTCCTTGTCGATCTTGTCTATCATATTGTATATCAACATTTGTACCGAAATCTTGACTATCAAATAGTTCGGGTAAATAGAACATTACGTCAGGTTTTCTATATTGAGCTGGTTATTCTTTTGGGGTCTAATAGCGTGAGTATTCCAGTTTTGAGCAATTCGATCAAGTTGTGTTGGAATTAGATCCATGAAGCAACATTTCAGATTTAATTTAACAGAGTGGACTGGGTCGAGTTTATCATATCGTCAAGAATCTCGCAAGTCTTTTAAAAAAAGCTACGCCACCACTGTAAATCTTCTTGTGCCTTTTCAAATGACTTCAGGGAATTAAAAAAATACTTTGGAATGAGGTATGGATTATTGTTTGTATCCGATACCTCTAGCCAGATCAGTCTTCTACTTAATCTATCAATAATACCATGGATACAAAATCCAAAGGGTTTTAACTTGCAATAACCATCTAAATGCCAAACATAGTTGGGACCTTTCGCACAATAAACACTCCTTTTGAGGCGATAGGTTCTTCTCAGATCAGATGAGTGCCCTCAGGATCTAAAATCTTCATTACCTCCATAACTTCCTGATGAGTTGTCTTCACATTATGATTAATTTGTAGCCGTTGCCACAAAAACCTATAACCCATAGTTTGTCCACAAGTATTCAGCTCTTTGTGAATGGTATTAATAACTGTGGGGTTGTAATCCCCGACTTTTTAGGTAAAACTTCTTTAGGAATCTATATAATTGCCGCATTGACAACAAAATTTTATGTATATTTAATAAAAATCATAGAATATCGGTGTATTTGAAACCAAGTTTGAAATATTCAATAATAAGTTCGGACCTCTGATTCAAAGTTTGCTTTAGCAAAAAGGTTGGTACAACACACATCACCACATAAAAAAGTGCCAAAATCATTAATATTATGAGCCCAATCTTCATTTTTATTTCTGTTCATCTATATCAGTATCTGTAAAGTATATAAAAAAAGTGTTAACAGTCAGGATGATTAGTGCAAATAACAACAATATATCTGGTACTATATGTTCTAGCATAGTGTAAAGAAACATCTAACATTAATTGTCCATTTTTTAATTTTTTTTTTTCAATCTTTAACTCGTATGTCAAGGGTTTGCTTTGGATAATATATAACATAATTTATTTAGGTATGATAGTGCAGAAAGGTTGGAGCTTACAGACACTCTCTAGAATCTCTTAAAGCACCAGCTAGCACTAACCTAGCAGGCAGGATTTAAACCTAGACTGCCAGCAAATCCTCCTATCATAAGTCAATTGTGTGAACCACTCAGTCAGCCTGCTACCCTGAGCGACACTATGCGCTAGTTAGCAAATTGATTAATGTGAATATATATTTTAAAATTAAAAAATCCATCCACCCTCGAATGCATCAGATACATGTACTATCTTAATTTACAGGCTATGTACAGATTCCACAACCGTCATTAAAACAATAAATTTTAAGAGAATCTACACGTGAGAGAGGTTTGTATAACACTTACATTTTGAATAAAACAGAACAAAGGTCGACAATACGAACTGTTGAGCAGCCTTCAAGTCGCAGCTAATCCAGATGATAAAATACGATTTTAGAAGAGACTGTGTTATAAAACGCCCTAATTAAATGGGAAAAATGTTCTAGAATATAAAGCGTTTTCGTCTGCCATATTTCATTCGAAAACGCGCCAATTTATGTCAAACAGGTAAGTCACAAATCAGAAGTCAAAAGTCACAAGTCATAAGTCGCAAGTCATAAGACACAAGTTAAAAGGGCAGGTTTATGCTTCCATATGTTTGAGTATTCCTTCACGTTTTGTTTCATAATTACAAAATATTTTTATGATCTGCACTCAATATATGTATAATTGAATTTCAGAAGACGAGAGGATACTATTGAACTAAGCGCCACAACCGAAATACCGAATATTTCAAATAGTTGTAAGTATGAATATTTCTTTGAATAATTCTTTTGCTTAAACTAAAAAAGATGCAAGCAAGTAAAAAAACCGTTATAATATGACATTTGTTAATTGACAATTTTATTAATTGCAATATCAATGCATTTAAAATAGACTTTTAGAAAATCAGTGAACATATTGAAATTATTTACTTGAAAAATCAGTAAATGAACTAGAAATGGGTTAATAAAATATTCCTTAATTCATATGATGACAAATAATTTATTGCGTGAGTTATTATTCTAAGATCTAAGTATTCTGGGAAGGATTAATAACTCAGGCTTATGTAACTGTAAATTCAATCGGACAGTAATAAACCAAGGGTCACAATATTTTTAATTTGGACCAATACTCGGGCCAATTTGTTTACATGCTGACAATTACTTATAGAAGTTAAATAGCTTTACAATTTATCCCGCTAATATTTCATGCGACAAGTCTTTAAATGATGTTTTGCTTAATAAGGGGTTATAACTTATCAAATAAATGCTCGCAAAAATACCAAAGTAAGTTCAAATGTCAACGACTATTCTAAGAAGGTTCTACATTTGGAGATACATGCATCGCAAACCTGTCTATGTATGGAGAGCGTGACAGACTGACAATGGAAAATGTATGAATGTACGTTTCTGAAGGTAAATCTAAATGCTAGCCCCAATGCATCCGAAAAAGTATCGGGGTACTAAAGTAACAATTTTCCTATAATTGAATAAAACGAAGGTTTATTCCAATTATTAAAAAAAAACAGTAACAGAAACAATTTTTTTTAAAAAACCTTGTACATTAATATCGAATATATCAACTAACATTTCAGATGGACTTGTAGAAAACGTAAACGTAAAATACGAGACACTGGATAGAACGCAACTTAGTAAGACAATTAGTGCTTAATAGTTCAATATTATTATTTATCTTGAAGTATTTTAACCAGAATATACTCTTATTAAAATAATCTTTCTATTCCAATAAGAGCAACAAATAAATAAAGAATAATAAGTATTCAGTATCTGTCTTAAAAACATAGATCCTAATCGGGACATTTAAAATCATTATTTTAAAGGAACTCCACTGAGGTTTATAAGCCTAAAAACATAAAATTTTAATTTTTCACATAGATAAACATGAGCACTTAAAACAGAAATATAAATAAGATATAATTAAGAAATATACAAGAAATTTATTGAAAATCGTATGTTTGTGCTATTTTCAGTCCGATTTGAGTGAAAAGCGTTTAAACGCTTTTCAATTTTGGGTCATTTTTCACTATTATAATAATTATTCTGGAAAAACAGAGCGAGCTAATGATCTGAAATTTTTGCACATAAGTTATTGGTATAGATCTACATCAAATGGAGTAATAATCTCAAAAAAATTATTTCCAGTCCAGTCATGTCAAAAAACCGCAGTGGAGTCCTTTTAAATTTATGAACATCATACGAATGCAACTAAATTTATAGAAGAATATTTGTTACATTCCGAATTGGTGTTTGACATATGCACGAAATCCTAACTACAGTACAGCAAACAGACATTTAACGATTTTTTTTATTTATTATCAAAGACTGTTAAATGATACATACCAGCTATAATAATAAGAATATGATCAATATTCTGTTTAAAATGGTTTTTCGAATGCTATTTCTTGTTACACTTTGATTTTAAAAAAGTTAATTTGAATTTTGAATTTCCAGAAATGAAATAATACAATAATTTTGCTATGTTTCTATAGAATGTATTTATAAATATTAAATTAATAAGTTTTGAACATATTTTTAGCTGATGATCACATGTACGACTCACCAAACGTCCATGGATCGGGAGGTAACAACTATTCCGTTATTTTTATGTAAACATTTCTGCTTGCGCATTGTAAATTTTCACCTAGCTTTCATAAAGATTTGAATACATGATGATACGCCAGTCCATGTCTAGTTTTTGTATGTTTATGAATTCCAAAAGATTCTGTAGCAGTTTGTTGTTATTGCATTGCTTTCTAATCCTGACCTTCATAAAGAGAGAGGAACTTTAATTAAGAAACTGCAGAATGAAATAACATTCTTTTTTTTTCTATTTCTTACCATTGATATTTTTCGTCATGATATTGAATTCTTAAAGTTGTTATAACTCTTAGAGCAAACAAATCAAATATTTTCAGATACAGATACTGCTGGATGCGGAAATTACGTGAACGTTTTACCGTGAAAAATGTTGAACAACATGCTGATGTCTTTGAAGAAGAAAACACATCATAAAGGATATAATATTATGAAGATTCGACGTGGATTATATATTTTTTGTGCCTTTTTTACTTTCTGTTTTTGTATTTTGATATAAATAACTTCAATAAAATATTATATAGTGTACTGCGATATATGCGTTACAAAATTTAACATGAACCCTTTATAAAAGTTTCACTGCTTTTGATTAACTCACTTTAAAGAGTCACATTTACAAGCCTAGGAAATAATAACACGTATATATGGAAAACACAACTTTCATCTTTAATGTTTAAAAGCAATCAATAAAGATCGATTTCTTTCTTTCTGTTTGTTTATGTTATTCTTGATTGATATAAAATCCATATTGGAAATCTGTAGATAATACATTTTCGATGTCCTTCAGCGTCTAAAATATTCCCTGTATTACACACAAAATCATATATATATATCTATGTATTGTCCAGGTCAAGTGCAATTTAACTAGCTAGGCGACCTTGTTTGGTCTAAGATAACAAACTAACAACACAACACATAGGTTGAATGAAATAGGGCATTTATTAAATGCCATTAATGACAAATGTTACATAATAACAAACATGGTATGTACATATTTATATCTAAATGACCAAACTGGGTGGTAAATATATATATTTATGAGAAAGATATCGATATAGATGATATTTCGTAGGTGTGTTTCATGAATTATTTCCCTTTATTTGTAACGATCCAATTTAATGTTGCAACGAATCGAATAAACATTTTTGTTATTTCTTCTTTAAATTGTACGTATTTAATTAATTAAGCTAGTGCTATTGATATACCAATAGCAGCAGTCTTTTAATTATACTTTTGTGATTAAATGAAAAAGTTCAACAACATTATGAGTTCGTCTGTTTTTTATGACATTAAAACAAGCATGTAAGGTAATAACTTTAAATTTTTTTAATAAACCCGTTGGATTAAAATACACATTACCACGTTTAAGCCAATACTCAATATATGTACTCAGTTGAAATTTGCCAAAACAATTGTAACAAATACAGATGCGATTGATTTTAATTTTGCTTAATTTACACATTATTTCTGTTATGTTCAAAAAGTATGATCAACATATAATTATCAAATATAATCTCATTTAAACGTACGGTTTTATAAGAAGTGTTATACTTACGAATTTAAGTACTGCATAGAAGCATTCTTTTTTCTCAAAAATATCTAATAATACCTTCTATTTTATCATTCACAGGCTGTTTTTTGTGGGTTATGAACATGCCCAAACCCCACTCTGCCACTGTCAATTATCGGTAGCTTTAAACATTGTGACAATTATATACCATTTGTGTCAATCATAAAAGGTGTCCTGGTTTAATGTTCACATTAATTAAAAAATTTCAAATTACAATAATTTTTGTAGCAATCAACATGTCAGACTGAAAACCGTAAAGGGCCAAGTTATTCTTGAAACGAATTTGGCTCTATAATTTCGCTGTTGTTTTCCATTCTCAGCAATACACCTGAGCTGAATAAACGGTCGACAGAATGCCGAGGAACTATCCCTATTTTGCTTTGTCAAGACGCAAAAATTAATTTTTAACATCCAAATTTTGTTTTGGGTATCATACTATAGATTATAAACAAGTGTAAATTTAAACTTAGTTTATGAAAGGGGTTTCCGTCTATGTGTCTGCAATCTTTACTTAAATAAGCCTTAATTGTATATTGGCTTTCCATGAGGAAATGTTTTTCAAAACAAGTTAATGAATAGAAAAGAAACATGTACTTCACTTGTACGTAACATAGTAAAAGTTATCTGATACAAAATAAGGGTTCAATGAACGGGCTAAATCAAACCGAGCCTTCAACATTTTCAATTATGCCATGTTTGGCTTCTTTAGGAATTCTAATTTTCTCTATTTAAGGTCTGACCCCAAGTACATGTCACCTTATTTGGTATTAAATTATTAAAATTTTGAAATAAGCAAACGTTAACTAAAATTATATATGGAATGATATTCTCGGCCTTCTTGGTCAACGATTTTATTATTTTAAGAAGCTTATTTGAATATCAGATTTTAACGCATGGTCGAATAAGGAGAGCGACGTACACTAAATGCAACCGCTAAAGATACACAGCCACACAGGGGCATCGTTAATATACAACTTAAACAATAAGACGGAAACAAGGGGTGAGCATGGAGAGGACGCTAATTAAGAACTTTACAAATCTTGTCGTTTGTTGATCATACGTGACGTAAATTTTACTTCCTCATTACTGATTGTAATCGTTAATATACTACACTGCCCCTGTTGCTGTAAACAAATCCAAAATTATAATTAAGACATCGGGATAAGATTATTGTAAAAAATACATTGATAAATGAGTGAAGGTTATTTAAGTCACGAAGATGAACATACTTTGTAAGCGGTTAAATATTTCTATGTAATGTTAAAGGATGTTTCAAATTTATGCTCATAATTTTAACTGAATTTTACGCATTCATGATATTTTAATAATAAACTTATTTTGTAGCAATACTTTCGATAGCAGCTATTCATTTTAGATGTAAATTTTTTTTATTCTATGTATTAGATATATTATCATTTAATAACTTATTAATTCTCTGGACATAGCCAATATTCATGTATATACGCATATCAATGAAGAGATAGAACCTTCGCAAAAAAGAAGAAAAAAAAAAGATAAAAATGTTTTATGATATGCATTTCATGAATGAATTGAGGATTCATCAGGAAACTGTTCAGGACATTGCAGATTGAAGCATATATTGCTCACTATTATGACTAAATCTACACCTTATATAATGATTTTTCTTAAAGATAAATAAGACGTACATACTTGATTGTTTAAACGTATTCTGATATGATCTAAATAACATTTTGTGTAATTACTACAAGGGAAATATTTTCTGTAATTAGCTACAGTAAAAACAAAAACTTCAGCAGCACGAATAATTTCCCTTTAAAACATTGTAATTTTAAAACACAATTTAAAAAAGTAAGCAAACAATGAAAAATAATATCATTAAAACAAAAACAGATAAAAGAAGATAAATATAGACCTGACAATGCCAATGTGCAGGAAACAAATCCAACACACACTAACATAAACCTACAAATTACCTTAATACGTGATATTATAACCATAATCACATCAGTATCTATTATATCTATAATTTCATTATGAATGAAATAATGTTTAAAAAATAACTATTAACATTATCATTTTATTGCAATGGGGTGGGTGGAGACACTTAACAGAAGTGATTCATTGAAATCGAAGTCTTTAGATAGAAAAAACATGTAAATATAAGTAAGCATTTTGCAATGAATTATTATATCAAAGTCTTATTTTTTCCTTTTTTTACTTTGAATCGTTACTGTTATACCATTTGAATTCAAACCCACATCAGTGGACAAGTGGTTTGAAATCAATGACCTAACTTCTCGGTATCGGACGCCCCTATGTATAATAGTAATGAATATACAAAGTAAATGCCAGTAGATGCCAGTATAAAGGCATCAAGCAATTCATGTTGACGCAAATTGTAATTATGCCACAATTTTAACGAAACGATGTAAATTTATGTATACAATCTACCAAAATATGTATTATGAATCTTTGTCGTCTCTCCATAAGGAATCTTAGAGTGTTTTTTATGACGACAAATAATTTGTTTCAATACTTTTCAGTATGGAACCAAAGTTGCGTTACACCTGAAGATAGCTATAGTGTATGCTGTGCTAGTTCAAGATGGTAAAGTGTGTGTGGTTTCTAATGCATGTAAAGATAGATGTACAGATGGTCTTAGAGGTACTCGATGCTATAAGCTTTGCATTTTTACTTGCAAATCTTGCGATAGTTACGTAACCTACTGTAATTCATGCTTTGACGGATTTTTGTAGGATCGAACATTGATTTAAGACTGAGTGACCTCCTTATCGGTAAAATATGTATTTTTGATACTATGTGCCCTAAAAGCCTCTTGTAGTATCCACTCGTTGTAGATATTTCATTTGTCATGAAAATTGTATTGCAATTACACTGGATGCATAAAGTGCAAACCAGGGTTTTGTGGCACAAGTGATTTATGCATTTATGAAGAACTGTTTAACTGTTCTGTGTACATGGTCTGTAATTATTGTAAAGGGGGATTTTATATCGATGATATCATTGTATTTTTGTTTCGGATAAACACAACAATTGGACTTCAAACCCGATCTGTAACTTTTGACGATCCTCTGTGCTTTAATAAATTAAACACATAGAGGAATATCTATTTACCCGTTGATGTTTTACGCAATATAATGTACTAATCAACCAATTCAACACGTTGCGTAAAAAAGTCGTATGTAAATTTAGTTGCTGGCAGCGTTAATTATGTTAAAAAATCAGCGACTATTCAAATGTTTTAATTCATTTCCAATGACATTTTTGATAAACTTTAGAAATTAATAAAAAGTCCGTAAACAGTAATAAAGATGTGCTTTTCCGCAGCTTCCATGGCTTCAGTTTTACGCCGGTTCCCTTATGTTTGGTGAAAAAGGACAACTTTGTAAATTTATAAAATTTACTTTCGATTATATATCAAAATAGAATTTATATGAATATTATTGTGAAATCCTTCGGCAGGATTCATAGACTTCGATATTCAGTTCATTATCTGTATACTTAATATACATAACTGTATACTTAATTTTATAATACATATTTAAAACAGAAATATATGTTCTCTGCTACGATTAAAAGATTTATTATGTTGAAGATAAATCCGTACTAATTTGGTACCAACATTTAAATATTTAATACGTGCTATATTCTCTTTATAAATTTAGTCAATTATCGTCCAGAATATTCACATAGTCCCCTCTATTACATTGAGCATTAATGACTTAGATACATTTCGATTAATAATAAATTGTATAATTAAAGGAGTTGAGGTCACCATAAGGTGGTATAAAACGCTCGGTAAAAAGGTAAATGAGATGAAATATTTATTAAAAATATGACAACAGTAAAATAACGTTGTTCATATAACCTTATTGTCGTTTTTTGAAAGAGATTTTATATATACAATCTCTATTATTTAAAACTCATGAAGGTTGGTAGTAAACAGAATACAATTTTCCATAACAAAATATTCCAATGCTCTTTGTTAAAAGATTTTATACGATCTAGGTAATCTGTGGCTACTCTTGTCATAATATAAAGGAATAAATTTGCAAACAATAGAAATCCCATATATACTTTGAAATATCTACTCTAATTAATTACATGCATCGGAGTTTGCATACTTTGTCAGATTGAAAAAACAAGAATAATTTAACAGCTTCACTTTGTGTTGTTTAAATTCAGATCAGAAATAATAGAAAAAACTTCATTTTTAAACTTAAAGGAAGTGACTCGGAAAGGCTTAAAGTAAAGTGGATTAGTCAGGCTTGAGAAAATGCTCAATAAGGTTTTAAGTTAATCTTTATTTTCAGAAGAGGCTCAATAAGACTTAAAGTGAAAAGCTTCATTTTTGGAAATGGCTAAAAAAGGCTTGAAGTAAAGCTTAAAGTTTGGAAGTGGTTCGGTTAGGCTTGAACTTAAATTCCAGTTTTGGAAATGGGTAAGACGCTTAAAGTAAAGCTTCACTTTTGGAAGTGACCAGTAAGGCGTGGGGAGTAGTTCGATAAGGTTTGAAATGACATTTTATATTCTTTAGTGGCTCGCTTAGACTACATTTCAAGTTGTATATATCTATAATAATTATATATATATAATTGTTTCAAAAGGAAACCCAAATGAAAAGCTTGAATGATTTCAACGTATTATCTCTTTCTGCAAGTAATTATATAATAAATAGGCATATGAATCTTGTATTGCTTTATAAAAATCATCCTTGTCACAAATATATTTTTATTTATGCTTTACGCATTAAAAGAAGATCATCATGACTGGTATTTCAATGTGCAAATAATTGTTGAAAATGATCGCCTCAATGTTGTTAAATCATTCTAGTTATGCATAAGTATACCATACGTATGACGAGAAGCCTAAATAAAGTCATCATATTTATTCAAAGTTTAAAAGAGTTTTTTTTTATTTATTCAAATTTATTATATGTTTTAATAAAGTAACAATCGTCTGTTTACCAAATAAGTATTAACTCTACTTCCTGATTACCGTGTATCACAGTCTGAACAAATTTAAAACTTACAACTTTAAGTGAAAACATCGGAGCAGACGATAGAGAATTGTTAAGAATCAATGAATTAATGAATCAATATATTTTTGGAATTATTTTAACTACTAATTATAGGAAGTGGGATTCACGAAAATGAACAGACTCTGGAAGACGGTATGTTTTATCCAAAATTCATTTATATACATTTTTTAAATTCTACGTGATGTTAAATAATGTTTGTAGTGTGGCTGTCATATTTTTTGCTCCCTCATCGGAAGCTTTATATTGTTCTTATTTTCCAGGTGAAAATGCAAAAGGATTACAAAATCAGGCACATTAAAGTGGATACATCTGCAATGGGCACATTTTCCATAATCATTTCAAATATTGATAAAATCAATACAAATGTATCACTTGGTTATTCTTATGGAACTTTGCTTGAAGAAATGTCGATAACATTTAAGTGATGATCATTTATATCATGAATAACAATATTTTGTGCTTGAACACTTTATTATCTGCAATATAAATGTAAAAAAATAATGTATCTCACATTTGCCAGCAACTTCTATGTATAATTTAGACGGGGTTTGTAATACTATCAAAACATTTATTCATAGTATTATGGTTCAATGATTTTTGGCAGAGTTATGCCCCTTTCACTTTGAAAATAATATAAAATTTTCAGTTTCCGTACATTATCTCCCCAACGGTATTACACATTCAACTCAAATTTGACATATGGATACATCAAAAGAATGCGCAGATCAACTATGAATTTGGTCATGGTTTTATTATTTTTGGCAGAGTTATGCCCCTTTTATTTTGAAAATTATATGAAATTTTCAGTTTCTGTTCATTATCTCCCAAACGGTATTACACATTCAACTCATATTTGACATATGGATAAGTCAATCAAATTTAAATAGTCATGGATTGATGATTTTTGGCAGAGTTATGCCCCTTTCACTTTGAAAATAATATGAAATTTTCAGTTTCCCTTCATTATCTCCCCAACGGTTTTACACAGTCAACTCAAATTTGACATATGGATACGTCAAGGGATTGGACAGGTGAAGTTCAAATTTGGTCATGGTTCAATGATTTTTGGCAGAGTTATGCCCCTTTTATTTTGAAAATGATATAAAATTTTCAGTTTCCGTTCATTATCTCCCAACGGTATTAAACATTAAACTCAAATTTGACATATGGATACGTCGAAAGAGTGTGCAGATCAAGTTCGAATTTGGTCATGGATTGATGATTTTTGGCAGAGTTATGCCCCTTAAACTTTAAAAACAGGAAATTTTCAGTTTCGGTTCATTATCTTTCCAACAGTTGTACATATTCAACTAAAATTTAACATATGGATATTTCAAAAGAATACACTGGTCAAGTTCGAATTGGTTATGGTTTGATGAAAGCTGACAGAGTTATCCCTTTGAAAAAAGAAAAGAAAATTGTTCCGTTTCCGTTCATTATCTCCCCAATGGTTGTACACATTCAACTCAAATTTGACATACGGAATAAGCAGTTCAAGTTTGAATTTGACCATTGTTCAATGATTTTGGACGAAGTTGTCTCTCTTAAATGTTGGAAAAATTTTGAATTTTAAGTTTCAGCACTCATACTTTTGTTTGTAGTCATTATTTTGGCTACAAATTTACAATTTACAAAAGGTTAACTTGAACTTTGTATAAAAATGGTTTTTGTTTACATGTAATAGTTTTAAAGGCTTTGAACTTGAAATGAAAAAAAAAAAAAATAGTTTGTGCAAACAGAGTTGGAACTAAATATTATAACATCTGTATTTTGGCTGCATGCGGGCGCATCCGTGGCGTGATGACACATTTCTAGTTTATTTTTTTTGAATTGCATTGTTTTTTAATAAATGTAGATTAATAACACATAAGCAATATGCCAATGCACGGGTAAATGAACAAGTACGTTAATCAATTACTGAAACTGCACTGGTTTGAATAAGATCAACATTTTATCACCACTTATGTGTCGTCATCACTTTTTGTAAGCTCACTAAATTGCTATTGATATGCACACGCATAAACAACCAGAATCTGTAAATGCGACGATGAAAAAAGTGAATATGCAACAATGCGTAAACACAATAATTTGATACTGTTGGTTCTTTTTGCAGTTTTGCAATTTCTCGCGAAAAGTAAAAAAATACAAGATGTGTTTTGCGAAAATACGACAAATTCAACGTTTTGTATTATCGCAATTTTTGTGTCGTCTTTTTGTTTTTTGTCTGGAAAGTACGAAAACATGTAGATACGACATAGTTCTTGACTTTGAGTTATTGTATTGTTGGGTTTTGTGGTGAAAAAATACGATATTTCGCAAATTATCCATCATATCTTAATAAACTGATGTTGATATTATTCAAAGACCCTTATATAGTACAAAACATAATCCTGTCTAGTTATACGCTATTGCAGTTGAAACATGATTTTACTTTTAAAATTATGTTTATGTGCCATATATTTTTTTCCTCAAAGCTATATATTTTCTGTTTCAGGTCTTATTAGTTTATGTAATATGCTGTCTTGGCAATCACAGATATTTTGTATATGGCAGTATGTATATTTTTTGTAATTTTATAAGATATAACAGTATTTCATAAATGTTTTACATTTTCTTAAGGATATACCTACGGCACTGTCCAGGACATAACATAATTGTTAATATAAATGTTGCAACCTGATCTCGTCCGAATACAATGCTTATTTCATAAAGAATGTACAAACCTTTTTGTTTAAACATGATACGATAAAGTCATAGTAACATTTATAAATACACGTTTACTTATTTAGTCAAATGAGAAATATTATTTCGTAACACGCACCCGGAAGAAATTCAAACAGTTAACAACGAATAACATCGTTTAAAATATATTCCTGAAGAACGCGGAAAAAACGGCAAAATAAGTAAGTTGCATAGAGCAATAAAATAAATAAGATAACATCAATTCACTCAACTTACCGATCACCAAACATCGTCTCTTAATTTTTCATAACAATCAGATATCTACACTTTCTTTCAATTGCAAAACTTCTCGTATCTAAGTATTCAACGAGCAATAAATGTAATTCAATGTGTAGAAGCAATGACAGTCATCAACCAGATAAGTAAAAAAACACACGTTCGTCAGACGTTTTTTTTTAAATAATCCATGTTTTCCAAATCCTAGCCGATTCCACGTATTCTTTTGTTTGTGTAACAATCTTCGAAAACATTTCTTTTCTTTTGCATAAGTGTAAAATTGTTATATTCAAATCAAATTAACACATATTCTTTCCTCGCATCAAAAAATACAATTAAAAATATGGTACGACCTGTCGCTACGACCTATAGCTTGAAATGATACATCCGCCCTGTTCAATAGATGTAGAAGATTGTTTAATAAATGCATAATTTTAGCGCCATCTTACGTTGATTTTTTTAACCTATTGTAAGTGGTAATAACAGGTTTTATTATTCAATTTATATGAAAGAATTATCATTTGAACTGCAGCACAAAATCTCTGCGAACACAAAAAAGAGAAAAACAATCAGATTTAAAAATAAACAAGAAAGGATGTAAACAATTTTTATTATGAATTAAATCTAATTTCTTTTTGGAAAAAGTGAATTTTATGGGTTTTTATCTATTTATCATATCATTCAATCGTTTTTGGGGGGGTCCCTTTTGACCAACAAAAAGTTTGTTTCAATTACTTCCAGAATGGAACCAAAGTTGTGTTACATATGACAGAAACTGTAGTGTATGCTGTTCTAGTACAATATGCTTTAATGATGGCGAATTTCAAAATGTTTGTTCAGATGGATGTATAGATGGTCATAGAGGTCGTCGATGTTATGAGCTTTGTGATTTAACATGCAAATCTTGTGATAGTAATATAACCTACTGCGATTCATGCTATGACAGATATTTCCTAGGACCGAATAAAGATTGTAAATCAAAGTGTCCTTCCAACTGTAAAACATGTACTTCTTATACCGACTGTCAAACTTGTAAAGAAGGATTCGTCAATAAAAACGGATACTTTGATTGTAGATATTTTAATTGTCCTGAAAATTGTCATTGCAATTCATCGGCATGTGTAATGTGTAAAGATGGTTTTTTTAACACAAGAGAATCATGCCTGAAATGCCCGCATAATTGCTATAATTGTTCAACTTATACAGATTGTTATTCCTGTAAAGATGGATTTTATAGTAGTGGAGACCAGAAAGTATGTTCAAATACATGCTACAAGGATTGTATAAGCTGTTCCTCGTACGAAAAATGTTTGAACTGTAATTCTGGAAAGTTTGGTCGTCAATGCCAGAATACTTGTTCAATTGGTTGCAAAGACAATGTTTGTTTTATTGAAACTGGAAAATGCAATTGTTTACCTAACTTTGATGGTGAAACTTGTTCAGACTGTGTACCTGGTTATTATGGATCCTTTTGCGACAAGGAATGTCCCGATAATTGTAAAAACAATGCATGTGGAAGAACTCTCGGTATCTGTACAGAAGGATGTAAATCAGAAACCATGTCTGGAAGTTACTGCGAAAATTGTATTGTTGGAAAATATGACTTATATTGTGATAACAATTGCTCAGAAAATTGTTTAAATAGAATGTGTGATAAGAAGAATGGTACATGCTCTGAGGGTTGTAAAGATGGTTTCGAAGAACCTTTTTGTTTGGAATGTGTTCAGGGTACATATGGAGAAGAATGTAACGAGGACTGCCCAGATACTTGTAAAGATAACAAATGTTTTAAACAATCTGGACATTGCTATGAATGTATTGAAAATTATGAGGGAATGATGTGTGACTTCTGTACACCAGGTTTCTATGGCTCATATTGTGAACAAAAATGTTCCTCAGGGTGCACGAAGATTTCCTGCAATAAAAATTCTGGCAATTGTAGCCATGGGTGCAAGGATGAATACTCTGGAGATAAATGTTGTATAGACAATAATAATTGTTTATATTGCATAAATAACACAGCTTGTCGTGAATGTAAATCCGGGTTCTTTGGTCAAACCTGTAATCAGAAATGCAGCGATCTTTGTATCAACAATGTCTGTGAAAGTATAACTGGTATTTGCACAAACGGATGTATAGCTGTTTTAGATAATCCAATTTGTGCTGAAAGTAAAGGTAAGTACACATATTATGATGACACCAAAATTGGTGTTTGCATTTTGTTTATATCTTCTGTAAAATACATAAAAGAATAGAGGTTACGATATTTCTTTGTCAACCCAAAACATCACAATACTTCCTTTGTTGTCTTTGAACTAATTGGAAATTCAAACATACTGATTGTAAGTAAGGAATGTATTAGGAAATTTAAACATATTGATTGTATGTAAGGAATGCATTAAACACCACTACGTTCGGAAAATATGTGAACAGGCAAATCTAAATAAGACTCTTTTTTTGGGTTAAAATTGTAAGCTAGACTGCTCCCCAAATTTGTATGTTATGTTTCCTGTAATAAAGATTCTGCCGTTTGCAGTCAGGGGTGTAAAAATGAGTACTCTAGTGATAATTGTTGTATTAGAATCTAACAAGAAGAATTGTTGATAATATGCAAATATATTTTATTACCACGAATGCTAATCTGGGTTCTTTGGTCATACTGCAATCAGACATATAGTCATCTTTGTATACATAATGTTTGTAAAATGAATATTAGCATATGTATAAAGACTGCATAGGTTTCTTGATTATATCATTTATGTTCGCAGTCATGGTAAGAAGTTTGATTAACGCTCGTTAAAACTAACCATTTTCTTAAGTTTATAATATAATATGCATTAGAGATGCACACAAATATTAAAAGTAGTGAATTAAGTGAATGTGAAATATGATCTTATGAAGGTGAACCAAGGGTGCGTGGAGTCAAACATTACATAAATACTGATAACTCCATGGAATGGTCTCTCGAGATCGCACGCAATTATCATTTATCGAGTGATGTGATTAAATAATATGTGGCTATACTAATTCATTTATAAAAAAACTTTTTTTAAAAATTATTTCGAAATGAATTATTTACAAAATAATTCTGATTATCTTCAACATTGAAACTGAAGAACTTACAACTGGCACGGTTTTTTTTTAATACAAGCCTGCAGATTTATACAACATTGCTGCCTTAATAAGAACAACAATCATCTCTCGCATAGTCATCAGAGAACTTCATGTTTCCGAAGCTTCTGAAATAACTCTTTATCTTTAAAATAACCTTCGAGGATTTATTAGGCTGTAATACCCAAGTGACTATTAGAGAAGGTGTTTAGCGGTTAGGTTTACGTGGACATATGGTGAATAACCCCTATACCGTAAACCTGCTTTATATACGGTCATTTTGGTTTGCTACAGTCTCGTTTTATTTAATTAATTAATGCACTTTGTTCAAATAGTTTCATCGGTTGAATTACTCGTAGTTGGGGAAAATATTAAAAAATTGATAGGATATATAATTAACAATTTTAACGGATATTGCCTTGAAATGTGTAGCGGTTTATGCACTTTGATTGAAGAAAATCCATGCATTTTTATAAAAAAGTAATAAAAGAAATATCTATCAAATTGGGGCTTTTTCCCATAAATTCGGCCTTGCCTTTGTCCAAATATCCTATATTATATATTATGAGTGTTTTATTTTTAAAAAAAAAAAATAAAGGTATATATGTTGGTATGCTTGCAAATATATAAATCTTCACAAATAAGCTATAGTTGTGAATAATAATGAAAGAATAGCAATCTTTGTATAATATCCATTGTGATTTGCATTTACATAATACAATGAATATATGGTAAATATGTTTATTTTAAGAAAAAGAAAAAGTTGAAAACACAAATGGTTCAAAGGACACGTCGTTAACTGCTGTTTTTGCAGCTCTTTTTGCTATTGCAACCGTTGCACTATGTGTGTTGATATCGAAGATGGTTCTAGAGAAATTCTTTACAGCAAAAAGGTAAAACTGTTTTATCTAATGATTAGAAATTAAATAAATAATTTCATCACTCATAGTTTATCACTTACAGTGAGGGTGACATAAATTTGCCGATTTCCTGTGTTGTCATGACTTTTAATTTATATGATTACAAAATTTGAAAGTTCACATAAAAAACATGCGTTGTGTAAGTATATTACTCGATTAAATAGAATTTCTCCACTAAAATAATTGAGTTACTTAAACTTGACTTTTATTTATTGGCGCGTTTGCGTAGCCTTAAACGGATTACGTAACCCTTTTAACGTGTTTCCCGGGCTTCATTGTAAATAGTCGAAAATTGCTGCTTTTTATGGAATACGCATAAAGTAAAAAAAAAAATCAGTTAATACACTGTTTCTTTCACATCGAAATAAAAGATATACACATTGCATTTTCAATTTCTCAGTGCAATATATTAAGAATCTTTACCCCCAAACGAACACATATCCTCTATTAAGTTATCGTTACAATATTAATTGAAACAAGTCATGTTTTAGTATTGTTTCACGTTTCATATCATAATGACTAAACATTTTTGTGATCTGCACTCAATATATGTATAATTGAATTTCAGAAGACGAGAGGATACTATGGAACTAAGCGCCGCAACCGAAATGCAGAATATCTCAAATACTTGTATGTATAAATATTTCTTTGAATAATGAATTGATGCATTTAACAAAATCAGATGCTAGCAAATAAAAAAAACCCGTGATTATGTAACGTGTCCGAGCTTCTGTCTTATAATTTAGGTAGCGTTTGAACTAAGCAAAACTATAGCTTTGACTATTATAATATATATAATTTTTCTCAGGCTACTTTGACTTATGATTGGTAATAAATGATTCTAAAATGATTTAAATAATAGTAAAAAAATCAATGGGAATTAATAACGATACGATGTTTTCAATATAGTTCAAAGTTTCCTCAAACAGTTTACTTTATCAAGTCAATGCCTTGTATTAAAACACAACCAATTGGAAATACTATATCACTACTATGGTTAGTTTTTTATCAATAATCCTAGGTAAAATTACACAACAACATATAAGAATTACTTTACATTCTAGACGTTCAGCTTTTCACTAATCTCACTAGCGACCCGTACAACTAAAATATAACTAAGATTAAACCCTGAACAGAAAGCGCATTGCTTTAATGTTAAGATATCAGAACGCAATGCTCTAAATATCTGAGTCAATCTTATTGTATTGAATTTACGGCACAAAGTCCCCAGTATTATATTATTAGCTGATAATTAATACTTATTTATTTCTCTGACCCTCCTAGACGACGTCTCAGCTGCAACTCCTCAAATCTTTTTTTTTTAATGAGTTTATTTAAGGTCGCCGCCGGAAAGCCCATAAGGGGCCATCCTAGAGCGTCCCGCCGAGATTTTTCGTCGATTTTTTTCCCAGCTTTATTGTTGGAGGAAGACCCCCAGGTGCTCCTCCGGGCATTATTTCAGGCACGAGCGGGCACCTGGGTAGAACCACCGACCTTCCGTAAGCCAGCTGGATGGTTTCCTCACATGAAAGATTTTGACCCGAGTGAGGATCGAACCTACAGCGGTGAGGGACCTGTGATCTCAAGTCAGCGACCTTAACCACTCGGCCACGGAGGCCCCTGCTCCTCAAATCTGTCTGAGTCACTGCTTTTATATTAATGCTAGAACCACGTGATCTCTGATAACCAATGAAATCAATCTACATACCTCACTGTATTCTGATTGGCTGGCTAAGAACTATTCTTGCTCAAAGAGCGTCTAAAAGTTTAATGATTAACTTGTTTGACAAGTGTCTAAAAATCTATTACTTATAAACAATAATCATATTTATATTAGCTTCCTTAAATAACTAATTCTAAAGTCTTTAAGAGATCTAAAACATAAACAAATCACAATATATCAAGCGAATACTATTTACCAACGTTTCATATACGTTTTTTTACCATGCAAATAGGGTTTCTAAAACAAAGAGAAATAACTCTGTTAATAAATATAGGTATCAGGCTTTTCGTCACAATAATATGACATTTGTTAATTGACAAAGTTTTTATTACAATATCAATACATTTAAAATTGACGTTTAGAAAATCAGTGAACATATTGGAATTATTTACTTGAAAATCAGTAAATGAAATAGAAATGGGTCCATAAAATATTCCTTAATTCATATGATGACAAATAATTTTGTTGGTTGGTTCTAGATACTTAAATATTTTTGAATTAATCTGACTGTCCTCATATCAATTTGCGTCAAAATACCTTATTGCGTGAGTTATTATTCTAAGATCTAAGTATTCTGGGAAGGATGAATAGCTGAGGCTTATGTAACTGTAAATTCAATCGGACAATAATAAACCAATAAACCATATTTTTAATTTGGACTTATACTCGGGTCAATTTGTTTATATGCTAACAATAATTTATAGAAGTTAAATAGCTTTACAATTTATTCCTCTAATATTTTATGCGACAAGTCTTGAAATGATGTTTTGCTTAACAATTGCTTGCAACTTTGACAATGTCAAATAAATGCTCGCAAAAGTACCAATGTAAGTTCAAATGCCAAACGACTTTTCTGGGAAGGTTCTTTATTTGGAGTTACATGCATCGATAACCGGTCTATGTATGGAGAGCGTGACAGACGGACAATGGAAAACGTATGAATTTAAGTCCCCAATGCATCTCCAAACAGTATCGGGGTGCTAAAGTAACAATTTTCCGATAATTGAATAAAACGGAGGTTAAATCTAATTAGATTAACATGATACAAAAACATCAATAACAGAAAAAAAAATTAATAGCTACATTAATATCGAATATATCAACTCACATTTCAGATGGAATTGTAGAAAACGAAAACGTAAAATACGAGACACTGGATGTAACGCAATGTAGTAAGACAATTATTGCTTAATAGTTTAATATCATTATTTATCTTGAAGTATTTTAACCAAAATAATCTTTCTTTTCCAATAAAAGCAACAATTAAATAAAGAATAATAAGATATTCAGTTTCTGTCTTAGAAACATAGATCCTAATCGGGACATTTATAATCATTGTTTTAAATTCATGAACATCATACGAATGCACCTAAATTTATAGAAGAATATTTGTTACATTCCGAATGGGTGTTTGACATATGCACGAAATCCTAACAACAGTACAGCAAACTGACATTTAACATATGATTATTTTTATATCAATAATCAAAGACTGTTAAATGATAGATACCAGATATAATAATAAGAATATGAACAATATTCTGTTTTTAATGGTTTGAGATTTTTCGAATTTAATTCCTTGTTACACTTTGAAATTAAAAAAGTTAACAAACTTTTGAGTTTCCAGCAGTTTGATAATAAAATAAAATTGCTATGTGTCTATAAAAAAGTATCCATAAATATTAAGTTAATAATTTTTGAACTTTTAGCTGATGATCACATGTACGACTCAGCAAACGTCCATGGATTGGGAGGTAACAATCTTTCCGTTATTTTTATGTTAACATTTCTGCTTGTGCATTATCCATTTTCACCTAGCTTTCATAAAGATATAACTTTAGAATTTATAAATACATACTTAATGATGTCCATGTCTAGTTTTTGTATGATTCTGAATAGATTCCTTAGCGGTACGTTGTTATTGCATTGTTTTCTGATCCTGGCCTACATATAAAGAGGGACTTTTATATAGACAAAGAAATCTATATGCATGGTTTATAGACTGCATTATTAAAATAACGTTCATTTTTTCCATGTCTTACCATTGATATTTTTTGTTAGGATATTCAAATCTTAGAGCAAATAAATCAATATTTTCAGATACAAATACTGCTGGATGCGGAAATTACGTGAACGTTTTACCGTGAAAAATGTTGTACAACATGCTGATGTCTTTGAGGAAGAAAACATATTGTATATAAAGGATATTTATGAAGATTCGACGTGGATTTTATTTCTTTCATTTTTTTTTTTACTTTTTGGATTTGCTTTTTGTTTTTGAATAACTTTAAGGAATCATATTAACAAGCCTAGGGAATAGAAATAATTATATGTGTATATGGACAACAACACTTTCTTTTTGATGTTTAAAAATGATGTTGTTTTTGATTGATATAAACACGGGGGGGGGGGATCACGTGACTTTGTATAGTAATACCCAAGAGAAAAGGGCGACTGCTGAGCCTAGGTGAGTACCTTATTATGTTAAATTAAGGTGACAAATGTTTCTTCAATCAAAACAAAACCTAACGTATCATATGCACGGTAATTTTCTCCAAAGACAATACAAAGTGCATTATCCTACATTTTGTGTTTTTTAGAACATTGTTTGAATTAGGTTTGTAGCCTACAAATGTTCTTTGTATAGTAAGTAAAACGAACAATTTCTGGATAGTACGTCGTACGAAAACAGAATATTAAGTTTCACGCACAGTTTTCAATAGCATACGAATACATTTAAAGAAAGTTAAAGTTCATATGTATCACATATTTCACTTTTTGTCTATAGGACGAATGCTTAATTGGTAGCTTTTATAATATATCAAATGAGCTTTTGATGGGATTTGATATCACGCGGCTTTAGTGTTATTTTTCTTTGCGATAGTAGTTTTTTTACCTCTGCAGTGTCATGTGTGTCTTTGCCCTCATTTTACTGTAATTAGAAAAAAGATGAACAAATATGATTGCTTGTTATTTGGTATGGTGATGTTTATTACAACAACAATAAAAAAACAAACGACAATGATACAGTGATTCAAGTTATGATTAAAGGCGCATTCTGTCTCAGAAATCCATATTGTTTTTATTCTTTAGAAATGTCAAACATGTGTTTGATAATGTTTAAACAATGGATAAAACGCATGACAGTATTTTATTACAACTGAAAAAGGTAGTGCTGAAAAGGTAGTGTCCCCCTGGGCTCCTTGCCATTGGTTCTTGTTGCTGGGTCATGTGGGGGTTGCGTTCATTGAACGCCGCCTTTCCTTGTTGATCTTGTTTATCATATTGTAAAGGTAGCAAAATGTAAACAAAGTAGCATTTTGACTTCCATACAAAATACTTATTCACTAAAGGTATACCAATTGCCAACAGAACCAAAGATGCAAATGATAGTTTGAGTATATATCGAGCAAATGAGTATGTTTTCGAAAATATAACAAGATACCAAAAATAAACAGTTTTTATATAAAAATTATCGCATTTCGGGCATAATATTGGTTTTTAAAGAAAAACGAATATTTGAAATCAAACGGTCAAAGATATTTGTACTTTTAAAGTGAAGGCAAGTGGAGTAATAAAAGAAATATTTACATAAAACAATCTTAGATGCTGGATTTCAAATCACACCGACAATGTCACGACACCTGAGTTAAAGCACCGACGTTTTGATGAAAGAATTCCAGGACGCTGGTGGGACTAGAATCTATAGCGGTGAGAAGCATGTGTATAAAAATCAGGGACTTTAACCATTCGGCCATGGACGCCCTGAATATCTTATTTACCTACTCTATCACAAACAAAAAATAAGAGTTCACGACACAACGTAACACATGTGTACATGGTAAGAAAAGAAGCGTATAGTAATACATAACGTTTTAACAAAACTTCGTTGGTATATTTATAAACTCTGCCATTGTATAAAAGAATAAATTCAATAAAAACTTTGTATACCAGTTCTATGATGGCATTTATTATCAATGTGATATGGCAAATGTCTTCTCCTTTGCGTTTTTGGTCCAAATTGCAGATACTGAAAAGTAAATGATAGTGTTGTAATATTTCCTTCTGCACAACTATTTCTTTATATACTAGTTCTACAGATAACAGATGTAGGTCGGTCTAACGTGAAATAGGGCCATGTGAAAACGTATATTGTTGGGAATCAATGTCAATGTCTCATTCATTTTTTGTCAAAATTTTATATGGAATTCTATAAGAACAAATAATTATATGAACTTGGAAACTGTGCGTGAAACTTACTATTTTGTTTTCGTGCGACTTACTATCCAGAAATTGTTCGTTTTACTTACTATACACTTACAAAGAACATTTGTAGGCTACAAACCTTCGAAAATATATTTTATATGGACTACGATAACAGATGTCAATGAAATGATTGATTTGGTGACTTAAGTGCAAAAAGAAAGCTTATTTTCATTTATTTTGGTACCAAATTACACCGCTTCGTGCGAATTACTATACTTTCGCTGTATGTGTAATTTTCACACAATTCAAAAAATGTTATAAAAAACCACCAAACGTAGGATAATGCACTTTGTATTGTCATTTGGAGAAAATTACCGTGCATATGAAACGCCAGGTTTTGTTTTGATTGAAGAAACATTTGTCACCTTAATTTAACATAATAAGATACTTACCCGGGCTCAGCAGTCGCCATTTTCTCGTGGGTATTACTATACAAAGCCACGTGATCCCCCAACCCCCGTGATAAAGGTCATATTGGAAATCTGTAGATAATGCATTTTCGTTATCCTTCAGTGTATCTATATTAATACCTGTAATAACACATAAAATCTTATATATTTATGAGAAAGATATCGATATAAATGATATATAGTAACTGTGTTTCATGAATTATTTCCCTTTATTTGTAACGATCCAATTAAATGTTGACACAAATCTACAAATAAACAATTCTGTTATTTATTTCTTCTCTAAAATGTATGTTAAGAGGTTAATACACGACAGGAGAGGGCCGGAAGGTGATAATCGGCCCGCAAAATGAATAATGGACCCGAGGGCTTTAGCCCGAGGGCCATTATTCATTCAGGGCCGATTATCACCATCCGGCCCTACGCTGACGTGTATTAATGTCTTTAATACACTTGGTAGATCTAATAGTAGCATTTAAAAAAAACTAGAAAAAAATAACAAAAACATAATCAAAACAAATAGACTTTGAAGTTCTTTCGTTGAAATTCTTGTCTACTCTTCTTCTGTTCTGTACAGAGATGTTTTCTGTTTGTGTGTACCAAGAATCAAGTTTTATTTTCATTTTTTTCGGAATGAATTTGTCGTATTATTTCTTCAAATTTCAATAGTAACAAAAATGTGTTTGTACTAAATACGCTTAAGGTATCGTAATAAAAATAAAGCGATTCGTGCTGACAACCTACTTTCACTTTTACAGTTAACTGTTTGATGACGTTAAATGTGACGTTATTGTATCAGTTTGTGCACGTGCACATGTTCTGCGGGCTGATAACTAGTTCTCGGCCCCGGGCCGCAAACTCATAATAGGTCACGTGACACTCATAATCAGTTGAAATCATAGGCAATTTTGTTGCTATATATAGTAACAAGTGTATTAAAATTAATTAATGTATTCGTGTAAGGCTATTCCTATCCTTATATCCATAGAAGATGTCTTTTTATTTTGCTGACATTACCTTGAAATACATTATTCTTATGTGATAAAATTGAAATGGCTCGGTTGACCTAAATGTTCGTCTGTTTTAAACCAATCATGAATACGAAATAAGCATGTAAGGTAATAATTAAAATACTTTCAATAAACGCGTTGGATTGAAAAGCTCGTCAATAATCAATGTGTGTATTCAGGTGCATTATAATTTTGCAAACAATTGTAACTAAAACAGATGCGATAGATTTTAATTTTGCTTAATTTACACGACCGTCATTATTTTTGTTATGTTCAAAAAGTATGATCAACATATATTCATATCAGTTATCAGTTTTTATGACTAGAAATTCTCAAAATATATAAATTTAACAGTACAAAAAGTTCAAATTTGCATTTAACAAGTATAGGTTATGAAATAAAGCGGGCCTTAAGCCAATCGATATAACATTTTTAGCTTTTATATCATAAAGCCAGAATATGCCGAAAAATAAAACAAACAAAACCATCAACTAATTTTTATTAAATTTGTTATTGTTTCTAGCAAAATATTATCCGGTGTAATATCACATTGAAAACAAACAACATCATGTAATACAATGAATATTGTAAATATATATCATCATAATTATTTTTTGTTTGTTTAAATATAGAAATAATTCATTCTTGTACCGGTATGTATCTGATAAGATATAAGATATTGAATTGTCATTTCGGATGTGGGTTACAGACTTCAATACAAACGTTTTACTATCATACATATATGTATTTAATATAGACACATTTTCATACTAGTAAAAGTGTTTGTTGAAAAATAAATCTTGAATAATTTTGTCAAATATCACGAGGGATGAACCTCAATTACTCGGACTTTGTTCATAACTGTGATGATTTTCATGCTGTCTTAATTAAATTAATAAATGTTTAAGTTCAATGTTTCTTTTATCTAAGAGTTTATGTAATTTATTTAACGTCGCCTTAAATCATCATAGTTTCGCCACAGCGGCGCATCTCATAGAACGAGAAATGTGTCTGATACAAACATTGAATTTGTTATTAATTTTCTAAAACTGACCTAAAACTATAACCAGA